CTGATCACCCCCAAGGCTTTTATTAGTATAGATATGCTCATTGTTTGCTTGCCCTTCTTGAACCGAAACCCCATAAAGACCTTGTATACCTTATTCACATGATTCCCATCCCTCAGGGCACCAAGTCAGGCATCCTTTTCTCTCAGTCTCTCCGTGGCCCCTACATAGGGCTTGCCACAGAGAAGAAGAAGGTAGTTCTATGCTCCTTCAGCTCAGATGTCACTAGGACACAATTTAGAAGGAAATTTTATGCCTTCACACCCGCTCTAGTGCTCTGAAGGTGGGGATCTCAACATAATTTCTGGCATGGACTAACTAAATGAAGGACCTTCTCCAGAGAGCCGAGTTTCCTCTCCTCCTGCATAGGATGGGGTCAGTCACCTTTCCAGGATACTTTCCACCCCAGTAGCTCCTCAGCTCATAGCATTCACCCAGGCCAGGCCCTGGCACTGGGGACAAGAGAAACACTTTCTCAGAACTTGATGGGGGAAAGGCACACAACAAGCTTAGAACCACAGTTGTTTAATGATTATTTACAAACTTATAAACTATTGATAAGAGGTTTTCTTACAGACCCTGGGAAACTGGAGGATGCATTTGCAAGGAGAAAAACAGGGCTGTGAAAAGATAAGAGATGCCTCGAAATACATTTTGAGATCCAAGGATGGGATAGTTTTTTATTTGGTTGCTGTGCTGGGACCCTGACCCCTCAGAGTGTTTGCCCCAGGAATGCTAACCATTCTCCAGTTCCAGGAAGGGGAGGAGTTGTTTTTTAGAGAATTATAGAGAATTAACTACCTTGTTATCTGACTTCAAAATCCTGGAGAGAGACACCAGGGACCACAGATCTTACAGCCCTTATCCTGCCTCCCTGGCATGTAGCCTTTCTTCCTTATCTATATCTAATCCGTCAGTTAGTAGGGGAGGTTACAGCAGAATTTACAGGATGACCTGCTGCTCTCTCCATACTGCCGGTATTATTGGAATAAATGTTCATATATGGTTCAATCTTGTCTCAGTTTAATTTGGCTCAAGTAGTGCTAGGCAGCCTGGACCCGTTTTGTGCCCGGTCTAAAACTAACTGGCTCCACAGTAGCAATAGGGGTTATACTGGGCTCTAAAGCCCCTGAACCTTCTACCGAACCAGCTAGGAAAGGGGCCCAAGTCAATTATAGGTGTTCAACTAAACTAATCATTCAAAGGGGCTGTCTGGGACCAGCCTGGTTCCTAGGGCAGGGGGGCTTACAGTGTGACAGGTGAGGGGCAGCCTTCCCGTGGGGAAGACAACAGGAAAAGGAGAACTCTGGAGAAGAGATGCTGGAGCCACTAAAACTGACGGGTTTCTGCCCAGAGACTTCAGCCCACCTCTGCCTGACACACATTCTCCTGTATTTCACCCTCCCTGAGCAGTTTCATTTCCTTCCAGAAAACTTTGTTTTCGTTTGATATTTGCCTCTAGGCCTCTGGGAGAAATTTCTGAGCTTCATTTTCTCTTCTTCGTGTGTGTGTGTGTGTGTGTGTGTGTGTGTGTGTGTGTGTGTGTGTGTTTCTCTTCTTGTTTCTAGGATACCTGAGCTGTTCCTAGAACAACAAGCTCAGTAGGAACAAGAGAGTGGGGGTGGGGGGTAAGGGTGTTAGGATCACCAGATAGAAGAGAAGAGAGGGAGGGAGGAAAAGAAGCTGCCTGGTAGCCCCCAGATACCCCAGAGGCACATGAGGGAGCTCCAGCAAAACTAAACAACCAAAAAGGGGCCACTTGCAAAGAGAATATTTAAAGTTTTAGAAAATAAAAAGGTCAGGGAGTAGGTTGGGGCACTGCTCAAGGCTGGCCCAAGACAAGCACACTGAGGAAATCTACCAGAGGTCACAGCAGGGAATCTTCCAAACAACACCTGGGAGGATAATGACTGGCAGGCACAGGAGCCAGGCTGGGGCCTGCCCTGAAACAGAAGCACACACCCTTAAAGGCGCCAGGCCCGGGATGTATGTGGATGAGAGGGGGAGCAGGGCTCCACAATTCCAAGGCAGAGCACAGGGCTCACATGCAATGAGCAAAAGCACAGGCCTTTCCTAGCCAGCCTGCCCCACCTCCAACAAGAAGGAACCTAGCTTTCCCAGGCAGAGGCAGGCATGAGTGGAATTCCCCTGAGGCAGGCTGCACAAGGTATCCAACAACAGAAGTCATTTATCAACTTGCTTCTAGAGGGCGAGAAGGAAGCCAGGTCAGCCTCTGCAGGGTACAAAGCCAGTGCAGCTCCCACAGCATCCCCACCAGATAGCAAACGCCAGAGGGTCACTCAGGAGAGACACTGACCAGAACCCAGGGGCAGAGGTCTCCCTGCAGAGACTGGGCATTTCTCATTCAAATGGTAAGTAGACAGCTTAGGAGGAAAGCAGCTTTAGAAATGAGCAGAAAATGTGGTCTTCTCCCGTTTTAAGAGCTGCACTAACCAGTGTGGCTCAGTTGTTTGGAGCGTAGTCCCGTACACCAAAAGGTTGCAGGCTCCATCCCCAGTCAGGGCACATACGTGAGGCAACCAATTGATGTTTCTCTCTCCTCTCTCCCCTCTCCCCTCTCCCTTCTCTTCTCTCCCCTCTCCCCTCTCTTCTCTCTCTCTCTCTCCCCCCTCTCTAATAAGCATGGTCTCAAGAGGATTTAAAAAAAGTAAGAGCTCTGCAGTCAAGACTACTTGAGTTGGAATCCCAATACAGACACTAGCTGTGTGGCCTTGAGCGAACTGCTTAAGCTCTTTGAAACTTAGTTTCTAAAATATAGGATGATAACAGTACCAAGCTCACAGGGCTGCTCTGAGAAATAAATAAATAGCTCCTGTAAAAGCTTAACAAAGTGCCTGGCACAGAATAAGTTCTTGATAAGGTAGCTTTCTTGACAGAATAATAAAACTATGAAAATCATATCTGGTACAAAACCTACACTGTGCAACTCACACTATGTAACTCATACTGGAAAAGTTGGCATTCCCAATCTGAGGGTGGGGCAAGAGAGGGAGGGCAATGGCCTTCCCATTTTCTGTTCTGTGCCCAGGAGCAAAGAACAGAGGCTGACAGAACCAGAAGCAGGAGGAGCCCCAACCCTCCAAAAGAAACACTTTTGCAAAAGCCTAAAGAAATGATGGTTGAGGGCTTCTCGCCTGCAGCAGCAGAGGAGTGAAAAGGCAGCAGGGAAAGAACAGTCCCAGAACTCTACTTTTCTCCCAGGCACTGCCGACAAAAGGGGCCACGGGCTAACATGACTAGCTCAGGGGAGGCTTGCATGGCAGCCTTGTGAACTCACAGACCTAAAATAACCACAAAGGATTATTTGAAATTAAAATCTTTTATTAAAAAGCAGGTTATAATAGGTAGTTATGTCCTAGGCCAGAATCTTTCCAAAGATCAATTTTCCATCTTTACTGAGACAACTGTCCGTCTAATTGCAACTAAGGTAACTTACCTATGGAATTCCCTTTTTCCAGACCCCTCAGGGCACAACAAATGGTACCAGGGCCCAGACCACAGATTGCCTCAATATTATTGTTATTATGTTAATTGTTGAATGTTAACTATCCTGTACCCACCTATGCAAAAGAAGCATGAGTCTATCATTTTTCTTTTTACCCAATCCCAGAGGTTTCCCCGATTTGCTTTCAGGGGAAAGCAATCTATCACCAAAGTGGTTCTGGTTCAGATTGCCCTCCTATGGCCTCTGACTTTGGTTGGAAAGACATGCCCTCCCTAATCTATCACCAACGGATTTCATGTAACCCACTTACATCTCCTCCTTTGATTATAATGTCTAAAAATAGGTGAAAAACTACCATTCTCTGGAGCAATATCTCAATATGTTGAGATTCTGCTTCCTGGCAATTGGCAACAGTTTGGCTCAAATAAACTCACAAAAATTCTTTATAGGCTTGAATGGTTTTTACTTTAACAGCACTGACATCTCTCAAAGTGACTAGAGTAGACAAATGTTCAGAGCAGCATTTTTCATAAGAGCCAAAAAGCAGAAACAATGGTTAAATGCTCATCAACTGATGAAGAGATAAAATGTAGTACTTTATCTTTAATGGAAGGCTATTTGGCCATAGAAAGGAATGAAGTTCTGATGCCTGTTACAACCTGTATGGACCATGAAAAAAAGTCTCAAAAGGCCAGGTATGATATGATTCCATTTATATGAAATATTCAGAATACGAAAATCTATATAGATAGAAATAGATTAGTTGTTGCTGAAGACTAGAGATCTTAGGGGGAAATGGAGAGTGACTGCTAAAGAATATGGGGTTTCTTTTTAGAGTGATGATTGTGTTCTAGAATTGATTGTGATGATGGCTGCAAAATCTGAGGATATACTAAAAGCCAATGAATTGTGTCTTTTTGTTTTTTTAAATATGCTTTCATGATTTTTGTTTAGAGAAAGAGAGAGAAACATCGATGGCCTCAAGTGAGGATTTACAAAAAAGTAAGAGCTCTGCAGTCAAGACTACTTGAGTTGGAATCCCAATACAGACACTAGCTGTGTGGCCTTGAGCGAACTGCTTTGAGAGAGAAGCATTGATTGGCTGCTTCCCGTACGCCTCCTACTGGGGATTGAGTATGCAACCAGGAATTGAATCAGTGATCACTTGGTGCATGGACGATGCTCAACCATTTGAGCCACACAGCCAGGCTGAGTTGCGAATTTAAATAGGTGAATTGTATGGTATATATATATTATATCTCGACAAAGCTGTTTTTAAAAATTACTACAAGGTAAGTATTAAAGATGGTTTTTGGAGCTGTGTATAATATAAAATTTCAATCTATATGTATGGGTGGGAATGGATAGCCAAAAAGCTAGAGCCTTTACCTGGCCCTATAACTCCTTTACAAAAATGGCACCAAAACATTAACCTGGATGTATCTCCCAGAAGATACCAGGAAACTCCTGTCCATTCCAACTAGTATAGCATGGCTATGAACTCCCCATGCAATAAGCCCTCTTCCAAGGTACTTACCCAGCTGGGTAGGCAACTAAACCAGACCGGGGGTCACAGGCAAGTCCTCTGCCTCCAGACACTGTTATTCCAAGCACCTTTTCCAAGGTCACCTGTTAGAGCAAGACAGAAGTGCATGTTATGGACAAAGCGGGGTTGGAAAGGAGGTATTAAAGGTACTCGGGACCATCCTGTAGTTCTACTTTTCTAATGCCCCCGTCTTCAGGAGAATGGGCTACTGACTCCTCCAGGTTCCCAGGCCGCCTGATCACGTGAGGAAAAGCCAGTGTGCATCACTTCCTTTTAACAGGGCTCAGTCTGCTGATACCACAGAATGAAAATGAAGGGGTTAAAGCTCTGTTCGCTCCACAGCAGAAAAAGCACTCCCCTAATCCATAAAGGCTCCGTTTACAAGATAAAACCTTAGGTCCCCAGATTGGCTCTTGGGTGGATGGTACTCAGGAGAGGTCACTGATCTTCGTGACTTGGCAGGCATGAAAGAAAGGCCACTCTGATCTACCAAGAGCCAGAAAAATGTTAGGTATCAATTAGATGACTAATTATATCCCTGATCTTTGCATTTTATCACGTTCTTCTCTTTATCACAGGACTCCACCCCCACCCAAATGTCTGCCAGTTCATACAGACTATGAGCTCGGGAGGCAGAAACATGGCTTAATTCTGTGTTTTGCAAAGCACAGATGCTTGGAGTACTCTAATTATTATCATTAAGCCACAACTCCCACAGAGATGAAAGGGAAACATGTGTCAAGTGCTCAGAGATTCTGAGAGGACGTGGCCACACAAGATATTCGCCATCACCCTCATCGTCACTATTGTTATCCCACATGTCTGCAGTCCCCATAGCGCACACTGAGCTAACCTCAAATAGTTTACTGGTCTTTCTGCCAGGTGATGCCATGTGAAATTCAGATCGCCCTGTAAGCCTCTTGCTTGTCACTGAACCTTGCCCCTAGCTACAGAATGTCTGGCTTCTCACTCCAGTCCAGTCTCCTCCGGTGTTGTCTGGACACCCTGCATTGGCGTTGCCTCAGGGGAATGGGTTTCTGATTTGCATGGTCAAGTCAACAAGCTAGACTGAACTCTGCTAAGAGAGTCTCAGAGGCCCTAGGAGGGCAATCTGAACCAGAGCCATTTGATGGGTGTTTATATCTGTGGCAAGGTGATCTACTCCTAGTCCAGGCCAGTTTCTGGACAGGGGAAGCCCAGAACCAATTAGGATAGTTTTAGGGTCACTGCTTTTCTCTTACTGTCTCAACTGGAGAAATCAAACTACTCCTTGAGGGACTGTTTAAATTCTTATCTCGAAGGACCATTTTAGTTTAAATTAGGTTGGAAAGACATGTGGCTGCCAAAAAACACATCTTGGGACATAATAGTTAAAACCTATTTCCCAGAAGGGTCCCCAAGAGCCTTCTGTGCTTCTTGGAGATGAGGATAGATTCTCAGTCTACTCAGGAGAGGCAGTCTAGTTCTAGGGCACCAGCATCACACTTGCCAATTATCCTTGGGCCTGTCTGAAGCACCAAATCTAGTACACTAACTTTAGCCTACTCAACACATTTTTAAAAATTCGTTAATTGTTTGTCTATCAAGAAAAACTATTCCTTCCTGGCTGGTATAGCTCACTGGTTGAGCATCAACCTATGAACCAGGATTCCTGGTCAGGGCACATGTCCAGATTGCAGGCTCAATCCCTAGTAAGGAGCATGTAGGAGGCAGCCAGTTGATGATTTTCTCTTGCCATTGATCTCTCTATCTCCCTCTACCTTCCTCTCTGAAATCAATAAAAAAAATCATAAATTTATATATATAATTATATCAGATGTAATTATGTATGAAAAACTATTACATGCTCAATATTCATGTTTCATAGTTTAGAACACAGGTCAGTAACACACTTCCATGGAATTCAACCCAAAGAAATTCTTTACATTTGAAAATCACTTTGCACTCTGCAATATACCAGCTTTGTTCATCTCCTCAAAATCTTTCATGGAATCATAATTTCAGTAGAAATCTCTATATGTCTTCTTTCTTGGTTCAGCCACAGCAAACATATACATTGATCACTCCGACAACAATATAAAATCAGACACTTGGCCAGAAGGCCACACATCTGAGGTTTTGTCAAAGCACTGGAAGACATGGTAGTTATATTCTCCTTAATACCAACATCCTTTTTGATGTAGAAAAGGACCTTCAATACAGTCTATTTTTTTTAAATGGCAACACATTTTTGCCGAAGCCGGTTAGGCTCAGTGGTAGAGCATCGGTCTGTGGACTGAAAGGTCCCAGGTTCGATTCTGGTCAAGGGCATGTACATTGGTTGCGGGCACATCCCCAGAAGGGGATGTGCAAGAGGCAGCTGGTCAATGTTTCTCTCTCATCTCTCTCTATCTCTCTCTCTTCCTCTCTGTAAAAAAATCAATAAAAAAATAAAAAAAATAAAAATCAATTTACTATAAAAAAAATAAAGGACAACACATTCTTGATAGTGTATCTTAGTGTATGCCTTCTTCCATAATTACTCAGTCACCTTTCTGAAAGGGCTGAGCACAGGGCACTGGCAGAAAAGTACAAATAACCTGGGGAAATGTGGGGGACACTCCGTTCAGGGCACCACCCCCTACCCTGGCACTGTGCCTCTGGCTATCCCAGAGAGAGGCCTGCTCAGAAACATTCCTGCTGCACCCACTGACTACTGCAGAGAGACAGAAGCCCGAGGCCACATTACCCACATAGATGGGAAATGTCATAAAATCAAGTGCAGTTGAGCTAAAAGGCTGCCCAATCTTAATTTTTCAAGCTAATCTGATTTCAGACAAATATTTTGGATTCAAATTTGCATCAATTTCTCCATTTGCTTCAGCTTGGTCCCAAAGAACCAGATGAGTCTGTTGATTCTCAGCTTCCCTTCCCTCAGACAGGAATATGGGTAGTAATCCAATTCCACAGAGAATTGATTCTGAAACTAGTGTGGACCTTTCACTAGCAATTTAAAGCAAGAAGGAGCCATGAATTACACAGAGCCTAAAGACACTTAGTATTTATCAAAGGTTTTTGACTGTGACCCACAATAAGAAACACATCTTACATCATGACCCAGTACTAGTGTATACGACACATGTATGTGTGTGTATTACTAAAACTGAAATAAAAGTTTCACAAGACAATACTTACTCTTATTGCATGCAGAACTGTATGTATTAAGTAATGTAACATCCTATTTTCTATGGTATTCTATTTCATTAAAAAATAATTCTGGCCCTAATCAGTTTGGCTCAGTGGATAGAGTGTCAGCCTATGGACCAAAGGGTCCTGGCTTCGATTCCAGCCAAGGACATGTACCTTGGTTGCAGGCTCCTCCACGATCCGGGCCCTGGTCAGGACTCGTGCAGGAGGCAACCAATTGGTGTGTTTCTCTCACATCAATATTTCTCTCTGTCTTTCCCTCTCCCACTCTCCCCAAAAATCAATGAAAAAATATCCTTGGGTGAGGATTAACAACCACAACAAAAAATAATAATAAATTTAATAATAATAACAATTCTAGTTGTGGCCCACTTTATTGATTTCATGACCTACAAAATGGCTGGAAGCTACAGTGTGAGAAGCCCTCCTGCAGACCATCTTTTCAGCAGGGCCTGGGTTTCAGCACCTGTGGTTCCCCAGTCACTTTCCTCCTAGGATTCCAGCAGTGTACAGACATCTGGGCCCGGACACCCCACGGCAGGAGTTTGCCTAGGCTCAAAACTGACTATTTTCAAAGGATTTGTTGGTTTTGGCTTTTTCTGGCTTTCTGAGCAACCAGCTATCCAAGGGGGGGTTGAGAGGGCAATTTCCTTTGGCTCAGTGAGGGAGGGAGAGGAGGGGGAAAACATTCAGGGGCATCAGCTGGTTTTTATTTTATGTTCTAACTCAAACCAGCTTCCTGTTTGCAGGGAGGTTCTGGGCTGAGCTCCACTTTCAAAGGATCTGAGAGTTCAGAGCTCCTGAAAGCTCCAACATTTAGGCTTATTTTGCAAGGCTTCAGGCTCCAGCATAATGGACTTTATAAACCGACTTTCTCCCTCTGATAACCTTCTCCATATCCTCTCTTTCTAAAAACAGAGCCGAAACCAGTTTGGCTCAGTGGTAGAGCATCGGTCTGCGGACTGAGGGGTCCAGGGTTCGATTCCGGTCAGGGGCATGTACGTTGGTTGTGGGCACATCCCCGGTGGGGGGTGTGCAAGAGGCAGCTGGTTGATGTTTCTCTCTCATTGACGTTTCTAGCGCTCTATCTCTCTCTCCCTTCCTCTCTGTAAAAAGTCAATAAAATATATTTTTTTAAAAACAAAAACAAAACAAAAACAAACATAGTATGATATCCATCTACCCTAGAAAATGGAGACAACCTGGACTCTCCCTGCAAACACACCACAGGCTAAAGGCACAAGTTCCAGCAGCAATATGCTGAAGCTGGCTTGCATGGGCTCGTGAGCACTGATCATGCATGTCTTTTCCCACCTCCACTATCAGTGACAACACGTTGGTAGATTGAAATCACCACAGTGGAGGTACTTACACCATAGAAATCAGCGAACATTACATATCAGGGTCCTTTTTCCCCCTCAGAGCCTGTAAACATTTACCAACACACCACTGAGTCCAAGTAACTATTATCTCTCACTTGGCCTGTGATTGTAATTCCCATGTGTTCTCTCTGCTTCAGGCCTTCCCCCTACAGTCTTTTTCCACATGGCAAGCCACAATGATGTTTTTAAAATATACATGAGATCATGTCATTACTCTGCACAAAACCTTCCAATAGCTTCTATCTTTAAGTTCAAATCCAAATCCAAGGCCCTAAATCATCTGGCCTCCGGCTACTTCTCTGACCTCATTTCCTATACTCTCCCTCTCGCTGACTCCATCCACCTCAACCACCCTGGCTGCCTTAAGCACCTCAAGCAGAGTCTAACCTCAAGTCCTTTGCATATGCTATTCCTTGGATCCTCTAATCTCAGCTATTCACAGAGCTAGTTCACGCAGGTCTTTGCTCAAAGGTCTCCTTCCCAGAGAAGGCTTTCCAGACTAGCTTTTCTGCTAT